CCACTCAGAACCAGCACAGCACAGAGAATAGATGAAAAAAATCAATATAGAGACTATATGCTCCCTGTATTAACAATAGTTATATATCTACAAGTATTGAAATACTTTCATATTTATGTAAATGCTATAGGTTACTGGTTTGATTCTTTGCAAATACCAAATATAAATTTGAGAGTGTTTTACAGGATAGGGTTAAGTTCGAAGTGGTTTTCTGTCAATAAAAGTATCTTTAATTTCTTTTCATCCCCTTCTTGACAGCTTAGTCAAGACAATTTTTTCCCTGGGGACTAGCTTTTGCTTGAGAAAGAAGTGCTGTTTCACTTGATGTTCGCTAACTCATGATAAGTGGCAGTCAACTACAGAAGGCTAAATTCACATAATTTATCTCTTCCACCATAATCTCTTTTACAAGACAAAATAAGGAACATAAAACATATAAAATACTAAACACATCAAAACCTATAAAGTATTAAGTACATAGGTGATTTCCCCGGTGTCATTAGGAATACTAGAGACTAGACCCCACACACTGTCAACTCGAAATATGGTCACTCTCTAATGTGTTTTGGGAAAATGAAGAAACTAATTAAGAAACTGTTTTCACTTAGATGTGCAGAAGCAAACACATTCTGTTTTGGTAAGAAATAGTGTACCATTTCACTGGCTATTGAAAAACAATAAGCTGAGGAGCATATTTTTTAAATTATGCAAAAGATAACTAATGAAACAAAGTACTCTGATTAATTCTTTATTTTCAACATCAAATACATGGATAAAGATCTTGCGCCAATCAGGTAGCCTACCTGATTTTTCATTTAGACTTTTTTAGAACTTTTTTTAGGTGCAAAACAAAGGAAAAAAAAAAAAACCTCACCAAAACAAAGAGATCAACAATTTTATATGCATCAATGAAAGAACAGAATACTTCAACAAATACATTATGGCAGCTGAACCTATACTCTATACTGAAGAAAGGACTTTCCATTGACAGACTACATAGTGCACACAAAAGCATTAGTTTTATAGTATATACAATAAAGTGATGCATAAAGTGGCTTGTTAATGTGAGTCTCGTGACAAGCAGTCTATCCCTTCATTTTCCAATGGGCACTTTCTGAAGAAATAGACTTCTAATTATAGGCACACAGGAGTACAGAGCATACTAATTTGCAAGATGGCAGCATATACTTTTTTTTTAATTTTTGTTTGTTTGTTTCTTTAGGCACATCTGAATGCTTTTTTTTTTTTTTTTTGGGGCACTTTAATGTTTTTTTTTTTTTTTTTTTTTTTTTTTTTTTTAACACAGTGCAAAACTGAATACCCTTATGGGCAACAATCACTTTGAAAACAACTTTCAGGATACAATGCTATCTATACTTGAAGGATGAAAGGGAAATGCAAGTAGAAAGAGTAGGACATTAATATTAGGGAAATATCCATTTAAAATTCTCAGATCAATTTGAGAGTAGTTGCAGGGGATAGCAAAGACTGGCTTGTATTACAATATCGTCATTAACATGAGCCTTCTTGAATTTCTATCTGTAAAGCTATATTACAGTTGTAGATAGCATTGAAAATAGCCATCTCTTTATTCAAAAGAAGAAATGCACTTCACATACGTTCAGCTGAGAATATCTTATATACAAAATCCCCTTAGCGTTAGGTTGAGTTGCATTCTAATTTTAAAGCAAGATATTGTACACACAAGAGAGGCTTGCTGTGTTCCTACCGAAGCCTGTGATAAGACTAAGGCCCTAGTGAGGAAGAATTTTAGCTTTGCTGGTACTTTGTTTTGTTTTAAACATTTGGCACAACTCGAGGAATCATTCAGCATCAATCGGAATGGATGGAGGATTTGATACAAACTGGCTTGGATGAAAGTGGTGCTTTGGGTTTTCTTTTTGTTCTATTTAAAGTTCAGTGACCTGCTGACAGTCCTTGCAATATCCTCGGGACCTCAGTTGAGATTATTTCTTTAATTATTTTTTTTCAATTATTAAACCCTTCAGTGTACAGAGGGAGAAAAATCATCAAGAGATGTCATTGAAACCTAATAGTAAATTTACCACAAACACACACCAAGAAACTCTCATTAAATTATTTTACCCCAATACAAATCTTACTACCCCAGCTGGGGGTTTTACCTGAGACAAATTTTCAACATTGAGACATGGCTGGAACCACTACAAACCAGTGTAGCTTTCACATAGTGTTGGAAACTCAGACACCACTAGGTGTCACACATCACCCTACCTCCTCTCCTGCCTTCCAAGCTTTTTGTAATAATTCAGTAACAACCATATTCTCAAGCAAAGCAAGTTCATCTGGTCTATTTCTGTTTGGCTTGTGCTGGTATTACATTGCCTGTTTCTAGGGGGTTTGGATTTTTGTTTTGTTTTTTTTTAATTTATACTTTTTTTTACAAAATCCATGTATAAACGTTATAAAATAATTCTTTCATTAGCTGTCCAGAGGCATCACTATGAATGTTTTGGTAAAAGCATAATTAGCTGCCTTGAATAGTTTTCTTCTGATTTTTCTTTTTACATGCTATATACTTTTATTTAATATCCAGCACCAAGTATTCAGATAGTACTGGTTTGTCAGCTGCAAATATAAAGTATATATGTATATATATATATATATACACACACAAATGAAATAGCATTCTGTGAAATAACAATTACCAAATGCCAGGCACAATTGTTTGCATACATGAGAGCATAATTCAGAATTACATATGAAAAAAGTTACTATTTTTCTATAATATAATTTGTTCAACCAATTGAATAGCTACATTCAGATGTCTGATATGTGGACAATCATCTTTATAGATAACTATGGAAAGGTTACTATATTCATTAAGGTGCTGTTTCAATTAAAATCTCATTAACAAGTTAATGATACAGATCCTGAAACTGCCCCAAGGTGAATGGATGTATTTCCAGGAAACACTGGGTTTTTTTCTTGGTTACTGTTTACTGTTGTCACGACAAACATGGGAGGACTGGTTGGATCTAAATTACTTCCTTGCAAGGGCTGAGCCAGGGAAAGCATACATAATTAAGACTGTAAGACGACTGATTATTCCTTATGTTCCAAGAGACATTATGATACCCTTCCATCTGCTGCATACCATTCCAAATCACATTTAACCAGATTCACTGGGAAAATCCATAGACTGTGATGGTACTTGCCCTTGAAGAACCTTCAGAATCTGACCCTCTATTGTGAATTGCTCTCCATGAATTACTTTTTTTTTTTTTTCCCTCTAGGCCAAATCTACACTTGAATCAATGTAATAAACTGTTATGGGATGCAGGACAAGAGGCATTCATTTAAACCAATCTGTCTTCCAGCTTATGAGCTTGATCTGTGTGTTCTGTCCCAGAGAACACCAAGTTGCCAGTACAGTATTTAAAGAGAAGCTCTAACGCACACTGGGCTACAGGTGAATGATGATGGTATAAGCACATAGGTGTAAATACAGGGATTCCTGTGCTCCATTCAGATCTTAGCCTGCACTCATTTCAGAGCATTCATGATTTTTCTAACACATTTGAAAACCAGCTACTAAACAAAACAGAGTGTGCATTTTCTTTCAAGGCATTTAGGAGCCCTTCAAAAGCCCTTAAGTACCAAATTTGCACACACACAGAGGCACATACACACACACACCTTACTGAATACACAAAAAGACAAATCCTTCAGCACATTCAGGAAAAAAGGAACCTATAATACGCATCAATAAAAGGCCTATTTACTTACAGTGACCGCTTCACATGTTTAGGCTTGCACAGTTTTTGAGAAATCTTCTCAAACATAGGTAGCATCTAGCTTTAGACTTTTATACTGTGCATATCCTTGGATATGTACATGAAACTGTTATAGACATCATTATGTACATTCACTAAAGAATTGAATCCTTGACTTGGAGCACAAACTCATCCTATGCCTTGCTGCCTTCACATTTGCTGTGTAACTCAATCTCACTGCACACAGACTCGGCTTGTGTAACAGGGAGTGTAATTAAACTCCTGTATGGCATTAGTTGCACTACTTCCTATATTTAGTTGCTACAGGATATTCCAATCAACATAATCTAACATAAAAATTTCAGCGATATCAGTAAAAGAAGCATCCCCGAACCCTTCTCTAGCACTGTGGCCAGCTGCTGTGGAGCAGCCTACGCACATGATATGAAACATCCTTACTGGCAGGGTTGTCGCCTCAACCAGCTACTGGAATAGTCCCTGGTCCGTGCTAACTCACAAACTGCACCTACAAACCAGAAGTGCAGATAGCACAGGCAAATTGTATCATTAGATTAATAAAATAGCCTTGGCGTATGTAATAATTGCATTCCAGTACCCAGCAACGTTCCCTGACATGTTTAATTTTCTAGCACAGAGGCAGCCAAATGGCAGCACCAACTCCTACTTTGAATAGGCCATAGTATGGATTTCTTCAGTCTCTCTCCTTCGTGTTTTGCTGAAAATCTTTATGTCAGTGGACCTTTGGTATATTTACAGTTTGTCTGAAGCATCTGACTAATACTTATGAAAAATACTTACACACATGCATGGAGAAAGCCAGATTTATCTTCCTGGACAGGTAGTCACAGAGTCTTCACCATGTCTGAGGCTCATTGCCCCGTTCTGGCGTCACAGGCAATCTCGCTTTTAACAGTGATTTCTGAGCATGCCCCAACGAGAGCCAAAGAAAGCCAAGGCAAAGCAAAGCCTACTGCTCTGGCTGTAATACCAGCCCTCCTATACGCAGCTGGGCCACATGCTACTGAGTGGGATGGGACAATCCCATCCTGCTGTGCCACTTTTGTGCTGGCATCCTCACCCATTGGTTTGTAGCACAATAAAGGACAGGGGGAGGTTTTTTATAAAATAGAGATGGAACATGTATGTGTGTGAAGACCTTTTTAGACTTGATGATTTTGTAATCATCTGTTCTGATCTAACAGTAATTATCTGTGTTATCACTGTTTGCCGTGTTGCCCTTGATTTACACACTGCCAAGCAACAGAGCAATTTAGCTTTGTAGGATCAGACAAGATAGGACACATACAATGCAATTCAGCTAGACGATATGGGTAAGGGGACCGAAAAATTTGGTCAGTATGATCTCGAGAGGGAGTTGTCTGCTGATATAAGCCAGCAAGGTAGAGCAAGGTAGAACAGTATTATTCTCAGACAGCAGTTCTTTTCTACTATAGGAAGAAGAGAGATGGGAATCTACCTAAACTACCAGCAGTTTCACTATGGTGCACTAAGGTGCCAATCAACTTTCCATTTACCACTCACCTCAAAAAGTCATCCAGAATCTCTAATAAACTGCTTCAAAGTTTCAAGCAAGTAAATGATTAAGCGAGCTCAGAATTTGGGGTGGATATCAACAAAGGCTACCATGCATGAAAATACCAATACACATGGGTGATATGGCCTATTAATTTATAGTAAAATGAATGTTCAGTTTAGATTAGGATTTACCCAAGTTACATACAAGATTAAATAAAAACACTGAAAATTTTAAATCAAGTTAGCCTGACAATCCTTGCTGGCTGTCCATAGCAATGAAATGTCTTCCATTTAGGATAAGCAATCAATTTAGGCAAGCACTTGACAAACACTCAAATGGAAAATGCAGGTGACTGTTGTCATTGGAGTGTTTACATAGGTGGCACTATAGATGAAATGAAGCATGAGCTAGGTAGTACGCTGCTGGGCTTCTCATACCATTATATATGCTGATTTTTGTTTATATTGTATTCTGCATATTCTCCTCTTCTTTGCTGTTTATATAAAAAGACTGCAAGGAGTGAGATGAAGCTGATGCAGTTGTCAGCTGGCTCCGGTTCTCCTCTTCCATCGGTGCAGCATTCCTGGCTGCTGGGGCATGCAGTCGGTGAGCATCCAGCATCTCCAACAAGAGATCATAGAGCGGAACTACATTTTTACACTTCATATTGTACAGGTGCTCCATTCCTTTGTTGCTATGGGTTGTAAAAACAAAAAAAACAATTATTACTTTCCAAATAAGCTATGAGAGAAAAAAAAAAGCTATAAGCTAATATTATTTGTTAAGTTCACATAAATTCTACCTTGTAAAAACCAAAGAATTTAACAGTGTAGTTGCGCTCCTGCTACACTTATCTGAAGAAGGCACCTTCAAAGAACATTTAGGACTGCCCATAAGCAAGCTGACTTCTAAAGGTGGCTCTTTTGTTCTCCTTTGCCTAAAAGGTAGCCTGGAGCTCATGGATTCCCAATTTAGACACTGTGACTAAGTGGATGGGGTGAACCTTGACTTTCCCAATATAAAACCTAAAATATCAGAAGATAACCTCAGACAATTTGTTAGCAAATGCTCACTTGTAATAGTATTCATTCACAAAACTATGGAAACAATAACTTAATTGTGTATCTGTAACTTCCTTAATTGTACAAATTCTTCTTAAGGAAAACAACAACAAAAAATTATTAACATGAAGACAAAAAAAACTCCACAAAAAGACACAAGTAAAAAAAAAAAAACACATGCACTTGACTTTTTCCTGAAGACCTAGAAATTAGCCCAGGTCTTTGTAAAAACATCACTTGTCCCTTCATAAAAATAAAATCTATACTGTATCTTTGTATAGACTTGTTCTGTTTACATTCTCACCACTGAGCAGCTACCTTAAGAGGTCATTAAGTTTGGGAGAATCATTGCTGTAACTCAGACACCTCACCTCTAATTAGCAAAGGGCACAGTCCTCTAGATTGGGATTCAGTACATCTGCATTTATCCTCATCCATAAAGTACACATAATGATCCTAATCTCTTCTAAAGTTATTTGCAATCAAGCCACCTGTGAAAACTGACTACATAAAAGAGATAATTTTATTAAATCTTATCTTATAGGATACTCAAGTTTGCAGAACTAGGTTTTATGGAAATATCTTTATAGAAAGCAGACATATATATATGTATATATATATATATTTGTAACAGCTTTACATATGTATTGCACTCCCACCTGTGAAGTAAAAGTGTGCATGTGCATTTGTGAAACCTCCCTTGCATGGCACCAGTGCAGGAGGGCTGACTGCGTGCTTGCTCTCACCTCATGTGTCTGATGTGAGAGAGGATGAGGAGGAGCTGAGCCAGTCGTCTGTGTTGCTGCTGCAGAGAAAGACCTGACTTAGCCATTAAGTGTATCAGCGTGTCTGTGATTTTGTCCAGAACACGGTGAATATAGTCTCTCTCTTCCAGAGACTTCAAGGTGCTGGAAAGAAAAGTGTACACACCTAGAGTAGGAAGGAGAAAGAAAACAAACAAACCACAGACAAAAATTACTTAGATGAAGTCAGACTCTCCCAAGGTACACCTCATGGCTGGCCTCTTCAGCTGTGTTAAACCATGGGAGCTTGTCTGTGTGTGGACCCTCCTGCTTGCCATCCAGGTCACCGGTTTAAACGACTCTCAAGCTTGAATGTGGTCACTGTGGACACAGCAGGAGGAGGAAGATGATGTTTCTTCCCTGCCCGGGTCTATCTAAGGTCTGGACCAGGTGGTGTGTGTCACCTGCAGCCTGCAGCTAGACCTGCCTGCAGGCTGCACTCTTCTCTTGGTCACTCAGCTCCAAAACCCTGAGCTAATGCCATTGACCCTTGAGAGGTTTGCTATACTTACTGACCAGACCAGGCCTTCATCAGTTTTTGCCATTTTCTCTGCTGTTTGATGTTTGGTTTTTGTTGATTTGCTAGTCAGTCTAGAACTGAATAATACCAGTTACCACAAAACATGTAAACAAAATCAGGGTTTCTTTATGCACACTCATCTCAACAAAACCCTCCCAGCCAAGCAAGAGCCTTGAAAGGTGAGCTCCTTCACCTGCAAACTCAACTCTTCTTCAAAAACCATGCCCAAAGCAACTTGTGTAAAATTAGCCATCATACATTGCTTACTGCTGAAAGTGAGCAGCATGAAGACTTGGACCAGAAGGAAATTTTTCCAGAGATTGAAACACCTTCAAACTCCCCCTCCAACAGCCCCTCTATCTTCTATAAAATGCTCTAACTCAGGCATAAGAGCTTTTGCCAGGAGTAATTCTTAGGAGCACAAAGCACATCAGCTTTCTAAATGAGAAATTCTAAACTATTTTGCACATTTTTATCTTGAATTTGTTCTGGATGACAACACACAGCCAATGTGAATCAGATCACAACAGCACCATGCTGCTAAAAGGCAGCTCTTCCATTCGGCACCATTTTTAATCTTCTGGATTGAGCCAGTAACGCTAAACAGGTTGTATTACTATAATCCAGTCCTGAGGCAGAAAAAGCTTAAGATGTATGTATGGTAATACAATATAACTGGCTTGATCTTGGTGTGTTCATTGCCCTGTGTCTATAACGTACTTGACAAATCCTGTGCTTTATCCTTTCTGCATCAGTTCACAGATCCAAGAAGAAATTTTGATTTTGTCCTTGGAAAAAATTGGTTTCTGGAATTACTTTTCATTTGCTTCTCTTTAAAGCATCATATATAGCACAATATGCAATGTGATATTAAGTGATATTAAGAAAAAAAGACACACACACACACTAACATACACACATACACAGACATTTATACTCCATCTTATTTGTATTGCTTGTAGCCTGGGGGCTATGACACCAGATTTGAAGATAAGAATTTTGCCATGCATCTGAGCAGTCAAGGAAATTGAGATTTTTTTTTTTTTTTTTTTTTTTTTTTACCATCTTCTTGGCATACATCACCTCTTCACATCATCTTAGTACTTCAAGGACCTGACATCTAGAACTACTGTAACCTGCAATTAGATTTTATTACTTTGGCTCTTCTGTACTAAAATGAAATATAGGGTTGTGTTTGTGTCAGTATGTCAGTGTGAGTGTCTCTGAGAGAGAGTGAGTGAAAAAGAGGGACTGCTTTAAAAAAAACACAAGAATAACTCCAACACAGCGTAACTTCTGAAAACTTTCAGTCTGAGCTCTTAATTTTGGTAATGAATATTGCTTCGAATTTAATATATATAGATAGTACAATGGCCTCTATTCTCACTGGGGTGGTTTAACCCACAGGTAGACCATGCAGTCCTGCACTCACTCCCCACACCCGGTGAGCTGGAAAGGGAATCACAACAAAGGGGGCACAGGATTAGGATTGGGACTGGGACGGCTCACTCACCAGTTAAGGTCACAGGCAAAACAGACTCAACTTGGGGAAGAAAAATAAATTTAAGTCATTGCCATTCATCCAAGTAGCGTAGTGAGACATAGCAACCACATCTTAAGACA